TCTAGCGGCTGAATCCATGTTTTATACTGATTTTGTTGCCCTCGGGGTCTCTTGAGATTGTGAAATAATTTTAACTAATGGTAACTTGACACCTATTTGCAATTCTTGAGCTGCCATCTGACTGGTGTGGGTCAGAGTAGGATTTGTTGAACTCTGTTTGGGATTTACAATTTGTCATGCTATCAGTATTCGGTAGTGACTCCTGTTTCTCTGCAGGGCATGCCTGACTGGCCACAAATTGTAAACGAGTTGCCACCAATGGAAGCATTATTAAGCAAGCTGGAAAGATAGAAGTCAGTGGCTCTGGCATCGCCTACTCAAAGGGGAAAGAAAAAAATGAGCACCTTCTTTCTGCCTCATATATGATTGTTGTTGTTGACCTTTATATATCTCTGTTATACAGCCGCAAGCGATTTTTCCAGAAGAAAGTCTGCTGCTTTACTTGTTTGACATCTCTGAAAACCCATGATCCATTTCTTTCTTACTTACTTTTGTAAATCATCCATGCAAATATTGAAGAGGAGGAGGATAAAGATATCGGTAACTAGAAAGTACAGTGGTGGTCCATGTGTTCAGTTCTACAGCAGGGCGTCTCCGTTTAATTTATTTATAATAAACTTCCATTCAGATCATGATGTCCATAACACCATGACATTCCTTTAGTAATCCTTTGTTTTTTGGAATCTTGAAAACAATGTTGTTAGGGAATTGAATTGAATTGAACTGATCTCTGGCGTCCATGATTTGATAGCACGTACTCCATCATAAATACTGCTCGTTTTTAGAAATATCCATCTTTGCAAATCAGGTTACCTCTGATTTCTTTTGGTGATGTTGAAAGATTTCAAGTTAAAAATCCACCAAGCAAGTGATTATTGAAAGGGAAAACGCTAAATCCACAGCACATAATTTCTTATTGAGCAGGTCAAGAAGTACCAAAGTTTCCTCGTGCCAATTAGAATCAGTTTGAACTCTTTCCAGGAAAGGAACGAGCTTTATCGAAGATTCGACTGCCCATATTATAAATAGGATTTGCATTCTTGGGTGAGGTTTTGCTTTGTTTCTACTTTCTAGTAATGCCAGATGGGTGCCCGCACTCCATGGCTGGCTTCCCATTGTATGTCCGTAATGAGATGGTTTTAAGCATTCAAAAAGTGAAATTACGGCAATCTCAAACAAACCAAGCTTTAGGAAGGCAAAGAAAGAAGTGTAAAAGCCTGCACAAATATGGGGTCCTAGCATTAGCACAAACGGTTTTAGATAAAAACAGAAGGAAGAGCAAATCCATAAATTTGGTACATCTTGCAAAAAAGATTAAAGCAAAGGATTGTAACGGCAGTGGCGGCTAATGAACATAACAAACTTTAAGCAAGCTTAGATATTCTTTGCAGCGCCAAAAAAAAAGGAAGGTAAGCCAGGAGCTGTCTTCCACATATACTCCCATAAATCACGAAAAGAAAGGTCCCGGGAGCGGTTCTACAATCCCAGCAGCCCTTCAGTCGATGCTGAGCAGTGGATGTCCCTGCGGTGGATGATTGAGATATTAGCAAGGCTGAATATGGAAATGTAGAACTGAGAAGGAACAGTAGGCTTCTTGAAACAGCACGATGAGCAGAATCACATGGATCAGCCAAAAAAAAAAAAACATTATCCGTAAGCAGCGAAGAAGAATTGAAACATGTGAAGAAGCAATCAAGCATGCATAACCGAAGATCAACAGTAAAGCATTAGCTGACTAAGATGGGGAGAAAATGTCGACTAATTTCCGAAGTAGAAGCAGAACAAACTATATAAGAGCTTTTCACAAGGAGCCAATGTTTATAGTGGTTGGCAAAGATCAAAACTCATAAACTCATAAAAAACCGACACTAAAAATAGCAGAAACATGGGTGTCATGTCATGGGTTTGTAAAATGCTTGGTCTAAACATGATGAAAGAAAAGAGACAGTACTGAAGATAGGTTAGAACATCCAAGTATAACAACATGGGCATCATGTAGAAATAGAGTCTGCCTAAAGATGACCTCGGAAGAAGAGAAAACTAAACTGTAAGCTGAAAAAACAATCTGGAGCCATGAAACCCGACCACTATACAACACTGACTGTTCATCAGCCTCCACACAGAAGCAACATTCCTCTGGTCCGGCAGCAAGACAGCCGACACAACAACCATCATTTGCACTAAAGAGAAGAGGAGAACGAGGAGGATCCAAACTGAAATCAATGCAGATATCCTTCCTCAAGTGGCGGTTTGCTAGTGAGAATTTTTTTTAATTTGAATCATTTCCTGTCATTACTTTTTTTTTACTATATAATTAAATAAAATCATCTTTTTGATCAGTTATGTCTACGACTTACGACTTGAGTGATAAATTATTATTTAAAAAAAAAAAAAGGATCCCAACACTAGAACATAAGCTTTTTACGTTAAAAAGTAATTTCAACCCCATTAACGAAATAGCTATTTACTTACCTGTTAACAAAAACATAAAAAAGTTCAGTTTTTCATTATATATCAAAACAAAGATAATTGTAGATTGAAATAATAAAATGATGATTTTTT